CCTCAATGTTCCAAGAATAGAACACTTTACTGCAGAAAGTGATGCACCAGCAGAAGGACAATTGTAGGACTTTTCCTCTGCTTCTATTTTACGATCGTCACTGACTGGTTCTCAAGAACAATCTCAGCTAGGTTGACTTTTTAGTCTTTGGCTGGCAGAAGTCCTTTGCCCCTAACCGGACGCTGTCACAGGCACATCTCACCCCGTCACATCTGTCCACTAAACAGTTTTTAGTGTGCTTCTTTGAGGTGCCTCATTAGGCTTTACAGCGGTGGCTAATCCTCCGACGCAGCTGTGACTGGGCTGTCACAGGCTGCACTTCTCCTGCACTCTCTATCATCTTAAGAAAGCCATCGCAGGTGACTAATGAGTTGTTGATTCTCTTTTGCTGTCACTACTAGCTGCACCGGTGATCGCTAACTCGATGTCTTCTGCTGATAGTTGCAAACGCACAGGAAACGCTGCTGCTGCAGACCGTGTTTTTGCGCTTTTTCCAAGTGAGCGTTGGGCCACTATTGCTCGCCGGTTTTGTGGTCGCATTTTGAAGTCTTTGACTGCTAATGAACTATACCGCTACTACTATTTGTCTTAGCAGCTCTTCTTATTTGCCTTTGCTGATGGCTGCTTAAACGAGTTCTCAGTCAAAGTGAAGACTTCATTAAAGCTCTGCTCTAGATATTCAAAGTTTGGTTGCTACTCGAACTGCTTCACAGTTACACATTGATTCAACTGTCGCGTGTTTTCACTGTCTGCCATTGGCTCTGGTGAACACTTTCACTCATTAAGATCACTTTTGTTGTTCTTTTATCGAGCACTGCTTAACCAGTTAGTCCAGTGATTGCACCGCATTGCCACTGTCACATTCAGGCTGATAGTCCTACTCACCTGGTAACGCTAATCTAAGCACTCTCTGCTAGTTATCTCCATCCGTTGAGAAGCTCTGTCTGGTTGTCCTGGCAAACTGACACCACCAACCCTAAAAGGTGCACTCCTCTTTCTTTTCACTTTCACTCTCTGCTGCCATCAATGGCGTCGCACTTTTGGCGCAAGGCGTCTGCGGCAGTGCTGGCAGCTCATCTCTGTCGGTCTGACTGCCTGTGTTTCCTTCATCGCCACTGCAGTGGAGTGTGCCAGACCGCAAAATGTGTCACTAAGTCACTCTCTCCGTTGGCAGTGATCATTTCAAGGTTTGCCCTGTTCCCACAGTACTGTGCCTACTGCTGAGCCCAATTTGCCTCCTTGCCTGGCAATCATCTGCGCCTTTGGGCGCTTTCTGGTGTCTGCTCCTCCTGATGCTTCTCCTCATGCAGAGCAGTCTTTGTGGTGCTTTGCCAACTGAGGGGCGCATCCGAGTTGTACATCTCATTTGTCAGGTTTCTTCTTGCTTTCTTCTTTTATTCCTGTTGTTGTATCCTCTTTCTTTTTTCTTCCTCTCTTTGTATACATTTGCGTTTGGTTGGGCCCATTGCCGAGTGTGTGTGTAGTCTTATAAATAGACAGAAAGCTCAAACCAGAGTGAATTTGAAGGAAAACTTTTTGAAGCACAGTTCTTCAGTGAGGGGCTTCAAGAGAGAACTTGTTTGCCGTTGACCGTTGTAGTTAATACCAGTTAACTGAAACAGAAACAAATACCCAATTACCAATCTAAAAGTGCATTTCATATTTGCTTTTGACGACTGTTTTATTGACAAATATTTTCTGAATTGTGCACTTGAAGCTGAATCATACACTTGCTGACTTGCTGATTGTCAGGCAGCTTTTTCCTTGGACACCGCCTGCTGAAACTGTCCGGACAACCACTGCCTGATTGAGCACAGCTAATATCCATTAGTGTGCAGTGCTAATTTGAGAGTATTTGCTCCTTACGCAACGCAATGACTTGAGCACAAATTTTGGTGCATTATGAATTGATGATGATACTGATGCCTTGAGCTCCTGACAATTTACCAGCCAAACACAGTGCACTCACTTGCCAGTCATCAACACTTGAGTCACCCGATACTGACTTTTGGTATATTCTCTCTCTTGTTAGTTGACTAATTGAAAAAGATCGGTAAAATCGACAACAGCAGGTGTGTGCATTGGAGGTGAATTGTGTGTGTGTGTGCGTGTGTGTGTGTAAATGCGACGAATGCCACAGGCAGCATCGGTGCGAAGGATGATGGCTGGGAATTAGGTGTGGAGAAGGCAGCACCACAAGCTCACGATGATCAGGCTAATTTATCATCAGTGTTGTTTGCCTCCTTTTCTATCTTTGACACTATAGGTGCTACTTGTGTGCGCTTTCGCTTCCACTGTCATCACTTGCCAGTTTAGAGCTCTTTTTAGTTAGTGAGTGCGTCCTCTTCTCAGTTCACATCCGTTTGCTGGTCCGAGGACTACCAATTGACTTTATCGAAACATTACTTGAAACTAATGATCACACTCAAACTACTTTTAGAGAACAAACTTTACAGTTTGAACACGAATCTTTTTATTTTGAGCAATAGAACAATTTTTTTTCTAAATCAATTTTTAACGAGGAAATCTTTTGAAGTAAAATTCAAGTGTTCTAATTAAAACTTTTGTAATTAATTATGAACTGACAAAATAACCACTAAACTCAAGATGAGAACATTTCTTTGAAGTGTGACAATAAATTTTAGTTAAATTGTAGACTAGAGAGAAGGGTCTTTTGCAGTCTTACTGTTGCCTTTACGCACCTCATGCATTTAGATGGTTTCCTGTCTGCGACACCGTGGCCATGTGTCGTCGATGCTGAGTGAATTGAGGCCAGAAGGTAGAGGCACTGCTAGCTCATTCATGCTTTTGCTGCCCTTGCTTTCATTGAGGCGTTGAGAAAGGAAAAGCAGTAGTGTGTAGAGCACCTAGAGCACTCGGGACCTAGAACGTCGCACTGAGCACTAAGCATGCGAGGCACTCGGAAGTGGCACGTTAAGGCAACAGCAGTCAGTGTTTGTGTCGTGCAACAGTTTGCTACTGCTACTACTACTGCTGCTGCTGCTGCTGCTTCTGCTTCTTAGTTCGCCCTGTCTCGCTCGCTCTGTGCTCTCATCGTCGGGAACCTTGCAGCTCTGAAAAAGCTCTCTTTTTGCTCTCTGAAGGGAAAGTTGGCCCTGCTGAGCAACAGCGAACAGTTGGCCCCTGATCGGGGTCTCTTTCTCTTGGCAGTACCCCTTAATTTGGGTGCTTCCTTTCACTGTTCTTGGCCTCCTCTCTTTCTTTCTTTTTCGCTCGATCACACAGCACACACACACACACAGCACACACACACCTGTACGAGTGGAAGGCACTGTTTGGCTGTCTACGGTGGGCACTGACTCTATTTGTGAGTCACTCTCACCTGTCCCCGGACCGACATCTGCCTTTTTCGACGTCGCCTTTGACCCTGCCGGACTACAACAAGAGCAAAGGTAGCAGAAAGAGAGAGAGAGAGAGAGAGAGAGAGAGAGAGAGAGAGAGAGAGAAGGCACCGTCTCCTGACGAGGTTTCTTTGAGAAGTGCTGGTCAGTGCCTCTCTTCGTCGACAGACCCCCATTGCACTGGCTTCTTTCATTCTCCTTCTCCTCCTTTTCCTTCGTCCTCTCCGTCTTTCATCGTTCCTCTTCTCCTTCCCCTCTCTGTGCCTTCTTTATTCGTTGCCCCTTGGCCTGTTTCCCTCTGCTTCAAATGTGATTCGTGCCTCGTTACCTGCTGACTGTCCATCCAGTCCCCAGCAGCAGACCACTGCAGTGTCTCGGTCAATTCTGTCAATTCGCAGCAGCCTGCAGCTTCTCTAATCTCGCCGCTTATCGTGATTCGTTCTTTTACTCCTGCTGGTGATTGCCATTTCGTCCTCAGTCAGCCAGTCTTCGGTGTTTGGACACTGAAAAACACAGTCACAATAACTAGCTAGTGCCCATCGACAGTCAGTCACTGGCTTCAGTCTCTCTCTCTCTTTTTCTCTCTCTCTCTTTCTCGTTTACCTTAGCTCACAACTTGAACGAAGCAAACTTGCTAAACTAGTTCTCTCCTTCTTCCTTTCAGAGTCCCTCTCCCCCGTCAGTTCAGCACTTCGCCACTTGCCTCTGCCACTTGGCATCACCTCACTCTCTATCGCCGTCTCTTGGTGATTTTCACCTCAAGAAGCAGAAAAACGTTCTAAGCCGTTAGAAGTGCAGGCAAAGTTGGTTACCGTCACCGTGAGCAGCCTCACTAGCGCCACTACCACCTTCTGCTTCTTCTGCTTCTCTTCGCCACCACCACCACCACCACCACCACTTGCACCGCCGACAGCAGCTCTTGAGCAGCCAAACTCGACTTCAACGACAACAGCCTCTTCAACGGCGGCAGCTTCGAAAACGAAACTCTCCGTCGACTGAGCTGCCTTAATCATTCACCTTGTAACGACGACTGAGTGACTGGTGGTGATCAGCAACGCTCTCGCACATCCACACAACATACACACACTCACACTGGCGGACAACGACAGTGGGAAGTGCACACGCGGTGATCACAGCAGCAAAAGGCGCCAGATTTCGGTGGTGCACTGAAAGCGCCCTGCTATTGCAGCACTCTGAGAAAGGATCAGCACGTATTCTTGCACCTTCTTCCTCCACATCTTCCTTCTTCTTTTGTTGTGATTTCTTCAGCGAGAATTCTATTGTTTTAGAGGACCACAATCCTTCAGTGCTCGTGTCTTATCTCAACGGTGTTTTTTGTTTATTTATTTATTTCTCCAGCTCACCGGTGCTTTGTTTACTCTGGCACTTGTCACCAGTGTTGGCAGCCATACACATACTCACTACTGTCCATCGTTTTGTTCTCTTCCCAATGAGTGCTTTTTAGTGCTCCAGTACCTTCTATTCAACAACCACCATCATTGTTGACTGGTCACTGGCTGAGTGTTACAAAAGGCAAACACTCTTTCTCGGCAGTCCATCAACCAACCAACCACCACCACCAACTCCCACACATCAGTGTCCGTCCCCACAACCACCGCCACCACGAAATCGACAATCATGTCCGCTGGAGCCTGGGCTGGCGGCGCCCAACTAGCGAACCATTACGCCGATTCTGAAGGGGCCGACAGCCACGACGAAGATTCGAGCAAAGATGGCTCCCTCAAAGGAGGCGGCTCCGTTGAGCTGAACGGCAATAATGGAGGCGGCTCTGACGCAGAAGGCGTCTGGTCGCCCGATATCGAACAGAGCTTCCAGGAAGCGCTCGCAATTTACCCACCATGCGGACGGCGCAAGATTATCCTTTCCGATGAGGGGAAGATGTATGGTAAGTGCACACATTTTTTTCTTAATCATTTGCAGTTTCTTGATTATCGCAAGTAAAAACGTATAAAGATATAGATCATTGCTGAAAAGGCGAAATTGAAATGGCCGCCGGAAACGGTGCGTCAAAGGCGAGAAAGGTTTACTTGTGTAGTTTACAGTTTTTGCCGGTGTCACCGTGACTGGCTGCTGCATTGAAAGAAGTAGACTTGAACAAGATTGTTTTTGTGCGTCGTCTAATTAGCTATCTTGTAATGGCAACTAATTGGGCGCACGATCGATCGCACCAATCTGACTGGAGCCTAACTTATGTAAAATAATGTCACGCACTGTTGCCTGCTGTGTGTCACTTGTAGTTGTAAAGTGGAAGACAATTGAAAAATGAAAAACTTCTTTTCACAGTTTTACTAGCTAAATGATCACACTTATTTTTGGTGCAGCTTTAGTGCCTGATGATGATAAACAGTGAGGCCAAAAGGGGAGAAAGGACCAAATGGACACTGAGAGTGTTTCCATATTTAGCGTCACAGGCAATCAGTGTGCAATTGGCACCCCAAAGTCAGTCACTTTTTTCAAATGACATCTGTCTGGATGTGTGATAATTTAATTAGGCAACCAGAGTCTGGTTACCAGACAGTACTCTCAATCTGAAAACGGCAGGGAAGTCGGTGCCGGTGTGTCTGCCTGATGAATCAGTCAGCCCCGTCCAGACATCATTATACTCTCCGTTTACTTTCCATTTTCATCCGAGATGTACTCTCGGTCACTCAATCATCGCCTTTAAGGTCGCTCCTGTCACGACTGTTCACTTGTGCTTGTCCGCACAACTGGTTGGTTGGTGCTATCATTGCCTCGCCACCTGTGAACTCCAAATTGTTAGCTTATGCAGATTTGTTTATTTTAAAAAAACTAATAGAGAATTGTTAATTCCACTTCTCGAATGTTCGAATGTGTTTCAGGAAGACAGGAACACGGCACGAGCAACAATTGAACACGCAGAAGGGGCAACTAACTTATTGGGTGTTGATAGTTCATGAGACAGCGCAGTTAAAAACAACTGTGAAAGTCCTCTGAAGTGAAACAAATGGTTTGACTTTCTCTGAAAAGGTCAAGTGAAGCCAGGTATACGGCGGCACAATGTCTGCCATTGTATGCTGCAGTGATAAGTGCTCAATCGACCCCTGTTTTATCTCTCCACTTTGAATGGCCATTCGAGCTTGTTTGTACTGCTTAATTAAAGGGCAATTGTCTTTACTGTTTTCAGTTGTCTGTGTGTCGTGGTCATCTTGGCAGAACGGACCAACTCTTGAGCATACTCAATTTGGTGGCTCCTTTTGTTGCTACACCGTTTTCAGTCCGTATCTTTATGGCCATTCACCGCACATTGGCCACAGTGGCCGGCACCACCTTGCCACCACCTCAGTACTCACACATCCCTCTTTTCCGTCAGTTTGCCTTATCTTTATTAACAGTTCGTGTGTCACCGCTGTCTGTACTGCTGCTGCAGAATCGATTGGCAAACGGCACTGGCCTACTCACTAAACGACGTTGCTATCACCTTTGAGCTTTGCTCTACTTCACTGCCGCTTTTGCTGCTCTCTCAGTCTTCTCGCAGTTTCTCATGAGTTTACTCTGAGTACCCCGGTGGTGGTCGCACTTTGTGGTTAGGTGAACTTCACATTGACATCTGTAGGATGGTTGCTGCTGTTTACCGACTGACTGTTTGGCGGTGTGTGCGACTAGGAAAATGGCAATCAATTAGTAAGTGTGCTGTGCCTGTCCTTCCAACCTGCCTCCACGACATGCATGCTTCCATCATGCCTTCTTCCATTGTTTTTCTTGGCTACAACAGCTGTGTAAGCAAGTGTGTAATTAGAAGTGAAGCTGATAACTTGGTAATTACACTGTTAGTGCTATCGAAAGCTGGTGACCAGCGCTAGTTTATGGTGTTTTTAACCAAACTTCCAATTGTGTTTGAGCTCTCTTGAACGCCCATTTAAAAGTGCATCTAAATGAAGTCATTGTTATTTTCATGCATTGATAAACTTTTTCTAAGGTTTAAATTTTGTTCAGAATATAGACTAAATAGAAAACCCGAACGACATTTTTATTATTTTGTAGGATTGTTGTTTTATTTTAAGCTTCAGTCACCATTTTTGGAACTAATTAAAATACATGACTTCATTCGGAGGCTATTGGTCTGGTGATAATTGTAATTGCTCCTAATGCTTTTCTATGTGTTAAGCACTTATTCTTTTGGTAGTGGATTTTCTAATTAATTACATTGGTTTTTTTGCGACCATTCATTTGCATTAAGTTCAAGAAGCTTTTAAATCAATGTGTTTCTAATTGATATTATTTGCTATCACAAACAGAAAGGGCAGAGTGCTTTTGAAAACTGATTTGATTGATCATCTTAAATGATGTTTTGGCAAAAAAATGTAGTCAAATTGTATCAACTTCAACAATGTTGATTACTATTGCTAAATCCAAATAGAGTGATCATCGCACTGAAGAACAGGAGAATTTGCTGTACAATGCAACAAATATGCAAATTATGAATCGAACTTTGCCGCCATTTTTGCACATTTGCTGTTGACTCGATAATTGACTTGCATTGCTCCTGAAGAATGCTCGGAATGAGCGACTCGATTGAGACGGCAGTCTTTCTGAGGATGGCGGCAGCGGCGGCGACTGCTACTTAGCGCACCGATTGGCTTGCACTCATTGCAGCCGCCGGTGCAGCAGCACCACTGCTACCGGAATCGATGCAGATTTTCTGCAAGTGGGCGCAGTTTTTTAAATTCCAACAACCAACCAGCCAACCAGAGATTCCTCTTCACTGCGCGCCACAGAAGTAGTTGGGGGAATGTTATTCTCAGTGGCTGCTTCGAAAGCATTTCAGCTATGTGCCGTTTCTGCCTTTCTCATTCGAAGGCACACATCATTCTCAGCCTTCAGTCCAGGGCCTCTCTATTATTCTCCGTCTCTTGTAATGTCTTTTTTAATAAGAATTGATTAATGTCCTTTTAATCAGCCAGTTAATTGTGCGCCTTTCCCAGTGGCGCCGATGTCTGCTGTCCGCAAAGGTATTTCGCCTACCGCCGAATTCTTCTGTCCGTTGCCCGACGGCCTGTGCTGTGGTGGTAGTGCGGACTGGCTTGGCATTTTCTGGTTGCTAATTAACTGTCGATGCGGCGGCACACTTGGAATTCGCCTCCTGCCTCTTTTGGATCAACTTTCTTTGAACCAGAAGACAGATTCTTCTTCAGCTGAAGATGTTCCGCTGCAGTAGACTGCTGTCACTAAGAGGGCACTCATATCATTAGAATGTCCCCTAATGATCAAAGTGCTGCAGTGATTGTGGTCGTCTTTGTCCATGGTAGTCCTGGTGTTGTGTTATGTCTGCTTTCAACAACAACATCGACAACATTTTCGAGTGGTGCCTTTGCATGTATACAACGGCGTTTTATTTACTATGCCTGAAGAGTGTGCAAAAAACAGAACCATTTTCTTATCGGAACAAAACAAACAACGACTTGGCTTGGTCAGCAGTATTGCGACCATGTAAGACCTACATTGTAGGTTGATTTTGTCAGTGGCAGTCATTTGGCCTTATCAGAGAGAGATGGCAAACAGAAGCAGGTCAATGGACCCAGAACTTGAGAGTTGAGGACTAGGGAAAAGTGGGAGAGAGAGAAGAGGACTGAGCCACACCGACTGTGGCTAATCGAATTGGTAATTCACCGGCAAAATACACCGGTGATAGGCGAGTGCGACGGCGACTCTTGCATTTGCATCGCTTACGCATCGGTGATTGGCGAAATTACAGTGACGGCAATTTACAATTAAATTTGCCTGTTCATGCATTTTCCGCTCTCTGTGCTGTGCTGTAGCCTCACTTTGTGCCTCTATCTCCATTGATTCGTCGGTAAATGAAGTGCAGCTTTTTAGCTGGTTGCGAATGCTGCCATCTCAGGCACTGATTTATTCTCTCTCTTTCGTAAGTGGTCTTCTTCGGTGGTGTAAGCTATCTGTATTTCATTGTTTTGTGTTAGATGGTGAATGGTTGCAGCCATGTCGCTGGTTAGCAGGCTGTTGGTTGCCTTCCAAGTCTGTAATACACCGATGAGCATGTGTGTATGGGTATTAATGAACGGCATAGACACTGACACTGGTGCAAGGTCTCAGACTGGTGCAGGATCTCTCTCTCCCTCTCGCCGCCACTCTCACTTTGAGTGTCTGCCTTCGCCATTGCCAGGCAGTGATGCGAATCATTGCCGAGTTAATAACCGTTGCAGTGTTGCTCTGGCGCTGACTTTGCCGCATCCTCACACTGATCGTCCACGCGACTCTCGACGACCGTCACAACTGTGTCGGTGGCTTCAGAATTTCATCAGCTTTTGGCCTGGCAAATTACCGATCTCATTTCGAAGTGAAGACTTCAGCAAATGTGTTATGCATGCATGTGTGTGTGTATGTGTATGTCGGTGCCTTTCGGTGTGTTTTCTTCCAACTCAGCCAGCCAGAGTAATCGGTCTCACACTCGAGAGGCGTTTGCGAGATATTTATTGTCCGACAGCGGACCAAGTGTCAGCGGAAGAAGACAGAAGGCAAATTGGTGCTGCCGCTGAGCAAAACGGGCAATTGAGCAAGCGAGCCACTGGGAAGAGTCTCGTTTGTTTCACCAAAAAGCTTTCACATTCCCCTTTTGTTTTTTGCTGCCTCTTACTCTCTGAGTGAGGACAATCGTTGGTTGCTTTTTATTGATTTATAGCGCAATCAGAATGGGCTGAATCGAAGTGAAGACGGTGAGTGTCTTCGTCTGTCTATCTGCCAATAATCGGTTGGCTCACTTCTCTTCACGAACAGGAGCACTAATCTATGCTCGATTTGCTGCAACCTCCGACCGGCGTTTGGTCTTTGGCGCCAGCGAAAGGGGCCACTTCGGTCTCGGTTAACTGTCAGTGTCGGTGTTCGATGGTAGGCAAATGCAGCTGCCTC